ATGAGGAGCAGACATGTTTCCCCTTGTCCTATTTTATGTCACTTATAGGGATTAGAATTCTCTCTGGTCTTGTATGACTTCATTAACTTAATAATATCTAAAAAAAAAAGCTTACTTTTCTAAACAAGGTCACTTCAGAGAGTATAGGACTTGAGACTTCAATATGTCTTTTTGGGGGGACCCAATTCAATCCACAACACAGTGTTGCTGTGAAAATTAAACAGGAACTGCTGTAAAGAAAATGAAATGAACGACAAATCTGGCTGCCAAGGTGTTCTATGCTCCCTTGTGGTCACATAATGAATTGTTCCAGAATTGCGGACTGGAGATGAAAACTAGCTCCTAAGAGGAACAAACCAGGCCTGAATTGTTCTAATACCAAAGGTCTCCATGAACAATACAAGAAGCTGGAATTCCATCCCTCCATCCCCCAAGTCACAATATCCAATTTCATCTGTAGCTTCATCGCATGACTCATCTTTGAAACACATTAAGAATTTTTATGATAATTTAATCTGGTCCAAATTTTGAGCATCTTCTTGGCAGATAATGCAGCATGTTTAAACACTGGTTCATCTTCCTTCTGACCCCACTTCACTAGGTCTTGTCCTCTTAGAGTTCTCTGACTCAGTGCTATTTATTGCTCCTACTTCTGCTACTGACACTTGGCCATGGTGTAAATATTTTACTTCCTAGCTGATCTGTTGTTGTTCTTTCTAGATATGACTTTCCCCTTACCCTTCTTGCTCTTGATATTCCTTCCTACCTCAAGTAGGATTATACTCTTTCTGGTCATCCCCAGAGAGCACAGTACTGGGCTCTACCCATTGATCAGCTAGCTAGCTAAACCTGGTTGTTGTTGTTGTTATGTGCCATTGAGTCGCCTGCGACTAATAGCGACCCTATGTACAACAGACCTAAACTCCGCTCTGTCCTGTGCCAATCGCACTGTCTCTGACACTTCCATCCCAATTATCCCAGTCACTGAATCAATCCACCTCATAGAGGGCCTTCCTCTCCTGCGCTGTCCCTCCACCCTCCCAAGCATGATGTCCCTCTCTAAGGACCAGTCTCTCCTCACAACATGTCCAAAGTATGCTAGACAGAGCCTCAGAATCCTTGTCTCCAAGGAGCCACCCGGTTTAACCCTTTCCAGGACAAATCTGTTTGTTTTCCTAGCAGTCCATGGTATTCTCAATACTCTTCTCCAGCACCACAGCTCAAAGGCATCAATTCTCCTTCTATCCTCCTTGGTCATTGTCCAACTCTCTGATACATGACAAGTGATTGCAAAGACCATGGCCTGTATCAGATGCACCTTAGTCTCCAGAGAGACACCATTGCTCTTCAGCCCTTTGGAGAGGTCCCTAACAGCAGACTTTCCCATGGCAATGCACCTTTTAATTTCCTGGCTACTGGTGCCGAGACTGTTGACTATGGAGCCAAGCAAACTAAAGCTGTGTACAATCTCAATCTCTTCACCATCCATCCTGATGCTGCCAATTGGTCCAGTGGTGAGAATCTTTGTCTTCTTGACACTGAGCCTCAATCCATATTGTAGGCTATAGTCCTTGACACTCTGCAGCAGGTGCTTTAGGTCCTCTTCAGTTTCAGCAAGCAGGATTGTGTCATCCGCATAACGCAGGTTGTTAATAAATCGTCCACCAATCTTGACCCCAAATTTCTCCTCATAGAGCCCAGCCTCCCGGATAATCTGTTTTGCATATAGGGTGAAAAGGTATGGAGATAGGATGCATCCCTGGCGTACGCCCTTCCCAATTTTGAACCATGCAGTGTTCCCTTGCTCTGTTCTGGTGACTGCCTCCTGGTCCAAGTATAAGTTTCGCATTAGAACGATCAAGTGTTCTGGGATTCCCATTCTTCTCAGAGTCAGCCATAGTTTGTTATGATCCACACAGTCAAATGCCTTTGCATAGTCAATGAAACACAGATAGGCATTCCTCTGGTATTCCCTGCTTTCAGCTAAGATCCATCTAACATCAGCTACAATATCTCTAGTACCACCACCCCTTCTAAACCCAGCCTGGACTTCTGGTAGTTCTCTGTTGATGTGCTGTTCCAGTCATTTTTGGATAATCTTCAGTAAAATCTTGCTTCCATGTGAAATCAGTAAGATTGTTCTGTAGTTTCCACATTCTGTTGGGTCACTTTTCTTTGGGATAGGAACAAATATCGATCTCTTCCAGTCAGTTGGCCAAGTGGTTGTTCTCCAGATTTCTTGGCACAACTTGGTGAGCACATCTGTTAACTGAAATATGTCAAATGGTATACCATCTATTCCTGGAGCCTTATTTTTTGCCATTTCCTTCAAAGCAGCCTGAACTTCTTTCTTCATCACTATAGGCTCTTGCTCATATGTTGTTTCATGAAATTCTACCTCAGGAAAATATAACAAGAAAACATAGTCCATCACTGGAGTCAAGACCATGCCCATGACCACACATGGAACTGTGACAGTGGACACCACTTACTTCTTCGGTGAAACAAGACAGTGGGGAGGCAAAGTGAAGGTGGGATGTCTCTTGATACAATGTCTCTGCAAGAAGGTTAAACAACATCAGTCGAGTTGGAGGGAGGAGTCTGCTGATTAGATGCCTTCAGGTTGACTCCAACTCATAGCAGCCCTATGCACAAGAAAGGGAAACTCTGCCCAATCTATACCACACCCACTGCTGCTTCCAAATCATCCTGCCCTTGTAGAGCAGATAACTGTCCCATTATGTTCCAAAGCCATAACCTTTACAGATATTGACTGATGCTCCTTTCTCCAGCAGTGACCTTTTAGTTAGTAGTGGGGGGCTTTAACCACTGCACCACTAGGCCCTCTAGGGGTGACAACAGGCTTCGTGCAGATATGTGAATGATTATTTCAGTGTTTCTATCTGTGCTGCTGCACCTCTGCATTGGCCATGAGGACGCACACAGGCTAGCCTATGTGGATGGCATTCCTTCCATGCTGGAGACTCAGGCTCAATTCCAGGCCACTGCTCCTCAGGCACGGCCACCAGCCAGTGTACAATGCTTGAGAGGTTTCAGCTTTGTTTCTAGACTAAGATGGACTAGGAAGAAAGTGTGGGAAGCCAAATTTCAAACTAAATATTAATGATAAACCAAACGCTGTATCAGGATATGAGGGAGGTGCAGATACAAACTGGAATTTCCCCTAAGGAGGTGACAAGGCAGACCTTGAGCATTTTCAGGTGGTGTCAAGGCAGACCCTAGGTGTTTTCACAATTCTCAGATTCTATTTGCTAATCGCTCCCTCATGAGTCAAGCATAAGGCTTTCAATAGCAAGAGCTTAGCTTCATTTGAATAGAATTCTCTTTGTGATTTGCTCCCTGACAATTAAAAAAAAAAAGGCACAGGGAAGCTGGGTTCTGTGCTTTGTTCTTTCAACTGTTCACTCCCTGCTTTATGCTCTCTGTTCTCCCCTCCATTCTTAGTGTCTTATCTCATTAGGCCTGGCAATCTCTTTCAAAAAGTGAGTCAGTCCAGAACCTATGGCTCACAACCATTCTCTGAACAACTCACCACAGAGATGGCCCAGGACTGAACAGCTTTTTGTTTTGTTGTTGATGAGGTCATTATGCATTGGGGCCGGCTCAAAGACGGTTAGCAAAAACAACATAATTTTATTACTAACACTAATGTTGTGTGCTGTAGTCAGAACCAGCGGGTTTTCAAGAGACAGTAAATCGCATAGGAGGAGATTATCCATCCTTCTCCCATGGAGCAGTTGGTGGGTTCAAATTGCATGCCTTTGGGTACACTTATTTTAGAGAACAGCATATGAGGGTGGAGAGGCTAGTGCGAAAGAAAAGGAGAGAGAATGCCTAGATAGGTCGTGAATTTACTGATACACCCAGGACTCTCAAGTCTTGGGGGACTTAGTACAGACAGTGTTAACAAGCTCTTCAGAGCATTTGCTACAAATGTTGATGAACAGCCAATACTTTTCCATGTGACCTGGGTAACGTGTGACTAGGCAGTGTGGTGCCCTGAACAACCCCAGTTTAAACTCTGGCAGGGTCACTGCTTCGCTCTATGCTTTTGAGTAAAGCATTCAATGAGTCTCTTTTCTGTAAAAATGGAAATGACACCCTATCAGGGTTGCCGTGGGCTCCACTGTGCCGGAGCACATGAGAGGCACGCTTCTGGGCCAGGCCAGGGACTGCTCGTGCTCATCTCCTTGAGCACTCCAGCCCTCTCCGGATCATGCTGTTTCCTAAGCATCCATAACAGGACTTACTCATAGTTGAGTTAGGCTTTTAAAAATAACTTGAGCAGGCATGGTAGGGTTTCCATCCCTCAAATGGAAAGGCGGGTATGTGACGTTTGACACAGTTCACAGTGTAAGGCCTACTCTTGCCTCAGTTGAGAGACAGAGTCTACAATCTATTATGTGATCCCTTGGTCAGCCATGAGGCACAGGAGGAATGGGCAGCTTCAAGACAGCTTTAAAGTCAATTCAACATTCAGAATAACCAACATATTTTGCATAATGCAGTGTGACATATTTATTAGGCTATTGAAAGGTAAGCTAAAACACGTTGGAAAGAAAAAAAAACAACCAAAAAACGGAGGCCATCAATAAACTCAAGAAACAAAACATTTAGCATTTCTTAGTTTCAAATGTTGCCTCTAAACCCGTTGCAGCTGAGGAAGATAGGCAATCCGTTGGCACGACTCCAGTGGGTGCTATTTGTTTTCAGTAATGAGAAGCACGGACATTGAACCAAAGACTTTTAGACAATGACTTTTAGAGCAAAAAAAGGGAAACTGTATATTTTTATATAGCTAAGACAAGAAGGCCATTTATACAAATAAAAGTGATACAAAATACATTACAAAAAGAGCACACATACAAAAGTCGTTAAGTTGGTCAAAGAGCAAGGAGATGTCACAAAACACCACGTTGAGCGCATCGGTGTGAACTCATTTCAGTCATCAAAGTCGGTCCCAAGTTGGAGTTACACATTTACTGAGGTAAAGGCACAATCACTTCAACATAATTAATGGGGAAGAATCCAGATTCCCCGTGGATCATTCCTTCATACCAATTTTCATCTATTTGATTGGTCAATGTAATGATGTCCCCTTCTTTAAATCCTAGTTCTCCTTGGTTTTCTGGCTCAAAGTCATAGAGACCACGACAGCAGGGTTGGTCCATGGGAATGTTAGAACCTGGTCACAGCACATGGAGAAGGGGAAAAGAAAAAGCACAAGTTAATTGGATAAATTACCCAAGGAAATGTGAAGAATTTGGAAAGACAGGTGTTTGCCTGGCTTCCCATGACTAGACGGGCTCCGCCTAGGTCATTGGAGGGGCTTGGGGTCTTCGGTCTCCTTAGCTCTAAGCTCTACTCAGCTTCCCCAGTCAGAAGAGGCCTCAGCTGACCTCCCAGGTCCAGCTTTCTTCCAGAAGCAGCTCCTCAGCTTGGTCTGGAGCCTTCCAGGAAGTATAGAAGAATCGCAAAGTCCGTCCCTACCACCAAGAGTGCACAATGTCTTTGCAGAGACGGGACAATGACATGCAAAACATTAAAAGAGCAAACCTGAGGTGGTCTATCACACAGCTCAGAAATTCATAGGAAGGAGAAGGCTTGGGAAGTCAGATTTTCCTAGAGACAATGGGATGTGGGCAGGATGCAGGAAGTGTTGAGGGCAGTGACCATCTATTTACTAATCAGACTAACCACTGTGCCTAGCCTAAAATTCTTGAAGTAATTTTTTAAAAAAAAACAAACATATTTCATATATATTCATTATATTGAGCTCTGGTGGCCTAGTGATAAGAAGGCAAGTGGTTCAAATCCACCAGCTGTTCTGCATGGAAAAAGATGGGCAATTTCCTTCTGTGCAATTTACTGCCTCTGAAAACTCACCAGAGGGTTAGCTATGGGGCATATCCAATTCAACAGTACCCAACAACAATGTATAACAACATGTATCATTTCAAACTAAAACATTATCATGAAATAAAAATATAGTACACGAAACAGAAAAGCCAATAAGTTCCCATTAATCCAGAAAGAATCCATGAAAAAGGAATATTTACCATGGCATTAAATCTTCCAGATGTCCTTATGAATATACTTGTGCATGTATTTACATATAGATTCTTCCATAAAATAATCTTCCTGTATATACCACTGTAAGTATCTCTACAGATTACTTCTACTTAATACCCATCATCATTTATATAATAATTTCTCATCAAAGAGCTGGACAATGACTAAGGATGACAGAGCATTGATGCCTTTGAGTTGTGGTGCTGGAGAAGAGTCTTGAACATATCATGGACTGCCAAGAAAACAAGTCTGTCTTGGAGACAGTGAAACCATGTTTCTCCTTGGAGGCTAGGATTTTGAAACTCTGTCTCACATACTTTGGGCATGTGGCCAGGAGAAAACTGGTTCTTGGAGAAGGACATCATGCTGGAAGGGTGGAGGGACAGCACAGAAGAGGAAGACTGAATGAGATGAGTGACACAATAATTGGGGCAATAGAGGTAAGTGTGTCAGAGTCAGAATGGCTCAGGACAGGGCAGGCTTCAGAGCTGTTGTACAAAGGGTTGCTATGAGTCGCAGGCAACTTGATAACACATAACAACAACAACAACAACTCAGTTTCTAATTTTTAGATATTTATGATCTTTCCTTCCTTCTCTCCTCCTTCCTTTTCCTGATTTTCCCTTTTCTGTCTTTTCTTAATTCTCTCTTGGCCTTTATAAAAGACACATATAGGCATCGGGGTGCGGGTAAGGCTGAGAAAAACTGGATGAAATATGTTTACGGCATTGAAGTCTATGGGGTAGAGAATAAAATATTATATTTTAGGGCATTATGTTTATCGTAGGAGTATGCAATGAGGGTTGCAGAGTGGATTATATTTGGGGTTGGGAGTAGGATCGGGGGAGGTGCAGGGGGGATTGTGTACCAATGAAAGGGTTTTTCTTTTGCTTTTCAGGGAGAGGAGCAAATGGGGGGGGGATGAGGTGGGGTGGGCAGAGAGAAGGGTGCAACAATGAATGAATGGAATTTAAAAAAAAAGACATATATTTACAACATGTATGACCCATCCCTTAAGATAAATTGCTAGATTTGCTACTCCTCCAGCATAACTGTTGGCAGGTTTTGGGTGTGGTTTTTAAAGATTTTTTTATACTTGCTATCAATTTTCTATCATTTTTCCCCTAAAACTTTCAAGAGCCTTCAGTCATCATTCAAATATTAACTCTTTATACACCATGTTAGCACACTGACTGTAATGAAAATCTCCAGATAAGAACAAAGTCAGTGGTTCAAACTCACCAGTCAGTCACTGTGTAAGAGAAAGGTGAAGTTGTCTGCTTCTGGAAAGATCTACAGCTTTAGAAACCCCATGGGCAGTTCTGTGCTAGCCTATAGGGTGGCTATGCGTGGGAACATAGATGACAGGAAGTTTGGCTTTGAAGTACATGTCATGATCTAAAAATCAATCCCAGTTTATCATCTGGGTCTGGAATTGTTTTTGGAATTGTGCTTTGAGGATAGAACTTGCTGGAAAGGTGGCTAATGTTTTTGCATACACATTACTATTGTTCTTGTTAGGTACCAGCCAGTTAACAAGGAGTCAGTTACAACACTATAAACAACAGACCAGAACCTTACACTATCCTTTGTCCTAGAAGTCATACCTGCAGTCAAATTGACCAAACTTTTCATTCATGGTTTATCCTCCACAGTTATACCAAAATACTCGATTAAATATTCCAATATTTTCATTTCATATTTTTATGTAAAAATCTTTTAGTCCATTTTAAATTTTAGCAAATAGTTTGAAGTGAAAGTCTTACCCGCTTTTTTAGAATAAGGATTAAGGCATTATTCTCAACACAATTTATTAAACAGTACATTCTTTCTCTTTTTTTTTTCTATTGCCCTTTTTCATTGATTATGTTATCATGTGCACTTGGTTCTATTTTAGGATTCTCTAGTTTATTTCACAAAGTCATTTGATATGAGTTCAAGTTGACTTGATGGCAATTGGTTTCTAAACCATTTTAAATTTCATAGATTTAAAATTAATATGTGGTAAATATCTTATCTTTAATATATTTTAAAAATTCTCAGCTATTCTCATTGAATCAGAAAATCTTTACTGTCAATGTATCAGATTAGCACCCTCTCAGGAAATGGTCTGATTTTGAGTGTTTCCTGAATTGAGTTTGAATATTTGATTTTTATTTTCAGCCATTTGAGGATGAAAGATTAATTTTAGGAGAATATTTTTAAACAAATGGCCACACTTACCTTGAGTGAATCCCATTTGTTCTGTATTATTATATTTTTATTTTCTGATTTTTGTTATTGCTGTTGATTGCCTTCAAGTCAAGCATGACTCACAATGACCCTATGAACAAAAGCCCTAAAGCCTTTCTGTAACTATCGATATTTTTCAAAGTTCATAGATTTTCTAGAGGCATGTTGTTTAGGAAGTGGATGCCCTAACTAGATTGACTTTATTCCTATTAGAATTAAGATTTTGCATTCATCTTTAAAAGTGAAAGGAGGCTACAGTTTTCCTTTGTTTTTAATGTTCCGTATCTTGTGGCTTAGTGGTAAGGAGTTGCACTGCCAACTTAAAGGCAAGCAGTTCAAATCCACCAGCTGCTCCATAGGAGAAAGGTGGGCAATCTCCTCCTGCGTGATTTACTGCCTCTGAAAGCCCACTGGGAGGTTCAACTATGAGTTGGTTCCAACTTGAGGGTACATAACAACAACAACATCTAGATTTAGTGCTAGAAATGTGTTAGCTTTACGAAGTTAAGTTTTTCTCCTTTTTCTAATGTCTAAAATACCAAAACCCTGAAGATTCAAAAGAAATTACCCCCAAAATGATCTGGACCTTTGGATTTCTGGACACAGGTGCTTTCTAGGAGAACTTATCATGGTGTCTCAGGATGTCTGAGAAGAAAACCAATCACTCAGTGCCAGTCTCCTACAGCTTACGGGGAGACATTTGGTCCTCAGCAGTCTCAGGTATCCATGGGGAGTATTGAAGGTGAGAGGATGAAGGTGAGGGTCACCTGGCTAAATGAGAGGATGCTTCACCCAGAGGAGCTCAAGGCCATGAACCACTGGTGGGTGATGCCAATAAACAACACAAGCTCCAACCAGACTATGCCCACGTCAGTGGAAGACTCGAACACCGACTCAGGCTACCATCAGCAGACAGACGTCCATTTATAAAGAGGCACAGGAAGCCTCCCGACCTTCAGCAGCTGACTGATTACATAAAAGCTCTCCTAGTCTTCATTCAGTACCCAGCACAGAGTGAGACCTGGGAAAGGAGGGCAGACAGCATTCCTGAGCAAGACCTTCCCCTTCTCACATTTCTTCTACCAGAACTTCGGTTGACATGCGAAGGAGTTTCGGTTGGTGGGGGAGGAGAAGAAGCTGGTGGGAGAGGAGAACATGAGGGCGGGCTTTTCTTTCTCTCCAGGTAGGTAGCACCTTCCCACGTGCTGACTTAGATATAAGACAGACCTTTAACCTGGCCCCACCCGCACTGTGCTCTCTGGAATCTACTTGAACTTTCTAGGATTTGGAAGGCTCCTTCTGGAACAGACTCTCGGTCCCCTCCCCCCAGCCTGTATACTCCTTCTGTCATAATGATGGGATCTGCAGAGGGGAAGGATTCGAATACTTGGGCTCCATTCCTTATCTTGAATTTGAAAAGAATAACATGCAGTGACTTCAAAGCAGCAGGGATTCGAGTGTTTGCAATAACAGGTCCTCTGGAAATTTAGTGCACAGGGGAGGCGGGTGCTGAAAATCCATAGCAACTTGAGCCCTGAGTCAAAGTCAACTACATAATGTCTAACTGTTTTTAAAGTGACCCCTAGAAAGGATTGGTATCCTGGTTGCATGGCTTCCACCACCAATTTTTAACAGAGGGGCATTCAGGTACCAAATCACATAGCAGTCTTGGGAAGCATTTTCTTGAACACAAAATGGGAATTCTAGGAAGGAATTTGGTAAGTGTCTGTGCACCTTGGTCTTTTGATGAAGAGGCAGAAATGCTCTGGAGCAGCCTCTGGGGTCTTGTGATAATCAGCCCCGCATGAGACCTCAGGTATCCCACCGGCAGAAGCCAGCTCAGCCCTGCTCCCTGTCACCTGTGATCCATGATGTGCCTAC